TTAGAGCTATAAAGTGCAATTTGACATCTCTAAGTTAATCAAGCATCCAGCTTAGTGAAGGGTCGTCGACACCAGCTCACGACAGCTTCTGGTGGACCGCCATGATACAAGGCCAACGCTGTCTCGAACGCAATGAGGATTATGATGATCTTCTCTAAACGATTGGAATGCCTAGAATAGGGATGCCACCCTCATCGAAGGGAAATAAATCAAACCTGTGTCGGACATGCTCTCCAAAAGCAGCCATAAAATCTGAGTGGTATGATAGTCTGAGGTTCAAAAGCCCGATACGCCTTTTGAGGTCGAAGTTGTTCACGACTTGCTCGAACAGCCTTTCGGACCTGCATATCGCTTACGTGGTACAGCCCAAATCTCCACTACCCGTCAAACTCCCAGAGTATCTCAGGGACATCGAGTAGATCAGCCTCTCCTAGATTAAGCTGATATCTACAAGTGGATAACACTTCATCCTGCTGCTGCGGCTGCCACGTGCGACAGATTTACTACCTTAGGGTATGCAAGACTCTCTCCGACTTGAATATCTCATCTGATACCGAGTTGAGATGCCAGCTATGCAGATTAGCTGCTAAGGCATTCATCTCGGAATGCTTCGCCTACCACGAAATATGGTCCATAGGACAATTGCTCACTATCCCTCACTTTAAGGAAGCGTTCGATCTTGGCCTCGACTAGATTCAGCCTACTAGCGGACGCCAAGGCAAGTGAGGCGACTAAGAGCTCGCTAGACCGTTGAGTGTCTTGTGGAGTAACGTATAGTACCTAAATCCCGTACATGACAACTTGTAAACGCCAAGCATTCCTACTCCATCCACCACTTTACTTTCGATCTTTACCGGTAGATGCCGACGAGTTTTCTTAAGACTCAACTTCCTCTGAGTATGAGGCGTCACCATAACGCTTTTGGATGTGCCTCTGTCGTCCATGTTAGGGGCCCGCACATCCATCTGTACGACAGCCATCACTTCCTCACTTATACCTGCACCAACTGTTCCAAGCGACATATCTCCATAGTTCACGATGACATGAGTTCATAATGACATTATAGAGTTGTTACTACCTCTGGCCGACGATGGAGCCTGATCATGACAGGTAGGATCTGACGGCTGCTGCAACTCGTCCTCCACTTCCGGACGGCTGAATATGGTCACCATGTATACCGCAGTGCTCCGGAACAACACACTGAAATCCTTGAGCAACCGCTGCGAGCCCATCATCCTCCTCCACAGAAGTGCACCAAGTGACCAAAGCATTTCACGAAAGAAAACGGCAGTTCCTGGAACTAAG